ACGCTGAATACGACCTCTTCTCGGCGTCCAAGTAATATTACCATGGCGGACAGGGTGCAGCATCGTAGTGTGAAGCACATAATGAAGGTCGTACTTTTCGGCTGGAAGGAAGGGGGTCGTATTTGGTCATTGCTGGGAGAGGGGGGGGGTCGTATGTGGCTTTGACAAAAAATTGCCGCGTTGTGGAAAAATTTAATTTTTCCCGATTGTTGACTTTACGCGTGATTTTTCCTGCTTCATGTGTACTATACCACCCTTACTCCCCCTCCCCCTCGACACCAAAATTTTTGCCCTCATTTAGGTGGGGGGGGGGGAATACCAAGACCCTCCCTCGGAGGGTCGTACTGGCACCACCATTTCACACATCACGATGCTGTACCCTGCGTGCAGATTCCTCTACGTCAAACCGTCGGTAACATACACTCGAAATCCCTGAGATGAGGTAGGCGTGGCTGCGTACTTCAACTAAACGTCGTGGTGGCTATGCTTTTGGAGAGATATTTTCATTTTGACCCAAATGTGGTCACGTCTCTGTCCAACAAAGAACAAGATGGCGGTTGTCTCAAATTGAAATATCCCACGAGTAACCAGTTCTGTGCCATGTTCGAATGCCACGCCTACCCCGTCTCAGGGATAAGGAGGATAACTGCCGTGTTAGGGCAACGTCCATTTGAGAGGTGCCTCTTGTTGTTTACGCATCTTCTTACTTACCTTCAGAGCAGAAACCATTCCCAAAGAAAGACAAAAACAACAAACAATCACGAAAGGAAAGCAAGGGATCTAAGCCGATGTCAAGCAAGCGTTCTTCGTGAGGATTCATGAACTTTCAAGATACTATTTTGTCCTTTTACCTTTGTAACGCGGTGAAATTCTAGGAAATCCCTCATTCATATGACGTTCAATCGCGAGCATTCTATTTTTGAAGTGACGAGAAAATGTGTGAGTTTGATTTTCTATTTGAAGGGATTGTTTTTAATGATGACATGATGTAATGGGAGTAATACCACTTAATGTGCGCACAGTCTGAAGCCAAGCTGGACAGCCTCCTTTCGAGCCAAAAGACGCCTTCTATTAGGCCATAATCAGCTAGTTAATGCCAGATGTGCTAGGTGGGTAGAAGCGCTGGCTCGCTCACTGTTTGGTATCGCATGGCAGTGTGAGATAGCGGTTCAGACTGCCTTGGTTCTTTACATAATGCGACTTCTTTTCTGTGCCCAACCCCTTCTCTCCCCCCCCCCCTTTGCGCTCTGCATTGGGTAGTGAGAAAATAGGAATTTAGCTGAAGGCATAGCCATGAAATGTTTATCTTGATTGGGTTAATTTCTTCACAAAACAAAGTGATGAAGACATGATGATATTGTAATGGCTGTTAAATTTCGTATTTCTCTCTCTTTTGATTAGCTTAATGTGACACATTTCAGAAAACCTATCTACAAGTCATGGGTGTTCCTCTCAAGACTGGCGGTCATATACTGTTTCCGGAAGAAGTCTTGTATCTTATGGAGGTAAAGATTGATGTTGTTATTTTCTTCAGAAATCATGATATTGTTATTCAGCTTTGGACTGCATGCGCCACTGATGAAGGTCAGCTACTGACGCTTTATGATGGGATTCGCATACTCGGCGAAACCGGAGTACCATTTTACAAGTACCGTGCCTATTCAGCACTTCGCAAGGCGGGATTTGTCGCCTTACGACCAAAGTGAGCGCTACGCATGTCCTTCCGTAACAACCCTCTTGGAAAAAAAAATGGGGCCCTAGGCCATCTACTACTTATCAACTAGAAAGTTGATCGTGCATGTTTGGTCCTGCGGTCCACTGGCTTAGTAGAAACGACACACTGCGAAGACGACTATATACAGACGATGTCACCCAGCTTCGCCCTACCATCTTATTAATATTCCGTGGTAGTTCTCAAGCTTTGCTTCATGGCAACTATATCATTCTGCCATAATTGACATCACACGTTTCAACGCTACTTTCTATCTGCGGATAAGATCAGAGGGTGGAGAATTCACCATTGATCAATACATTTTTGGGGTGCAGTGCGCATCCTACTTCCATTCAGAATCGTAGTGGCTTCTTGAATGCCTTGGGCCTACACAATGCTTTTCGTGGACCAGCCAATATACAAGTCAGTGGTCGTGTCTTCTCAAGCGATTTTGATACCACTCTGCAGTCCCCGAAAGGTGAAAGCCTTGAGTTAGCCCAGGCGGGAGCCAATGCAAGGTTTGACTTCTGCACCGCGCGGTGGTAAGCATACCACTTGCCACTACGCTTTTTCCGCCTGAATAATGTATGTCATACGAGTGTTGAAATGACTCGGAGAAGGGTTAAAGGCAGCTGGCAACGCATAGAATCGCTATACAGGTGTAGGATTTGTACAACTGGCTTAACAGAATTCCGTGACCTCGGACAGGCGCTGCGTGAAGCCTTTTCCAAGGAGGGTACCTCTATAACGCCCTATTGAGCAACAACTTTACGTCCCAAACGCCTTCCTTGCCCGCCCGCCCACAAATGGACGACCGTTCCTGACGCTCGTATTCATTCATTTGCTAAGCAAATTATGAAGCGAAGGGATTGGTATGAAGCGGCCGTGATGCTGCATGCATATATGGGTACACATATGCAGCCGTATCTTCGGTAGCGGTGATTGGTAAGATGCCTACGGGAAACTCGTCCGAAATCGATTTACAAGTCACTGAGAACGGAGGCTTTTTCTTCGCAGGATTTTGACCGTTTCACTCCGTTCTTTCGCCATTTCCCCACTATACAGCGCCCTACTAGCATTTTAGGCTAAGTAGGAAACCATCGTGCCAACTGCCTTTAAGGCAGCGCTCTGCACTCCAACGGTCCCTCCCAATCTCGCATTTCACCACTCTAACGATAAGATCAACCTCATGAGGGATGGCATGGCCTTGAAGAGCTGATTCGTGCCTCTATGCAGTTAATATCAGCGTTCAATAATTGGGAATTGAAAAAAAGATCGTGTGGCCTACCTCGAAGGAACTTGGTGAGGCCGGCATTTTATCCTTATTTCTGGTAGTGAACTTATGCAAATAGGGAGCTAGCTTGTCTCGTTGGTACCAAAACAGCACATAGTTTACTCAAGAAATTGCGCGATAGTCAGTGAGGCTAAAGCTTTCAGGTGTTGACTAGCTTCCGTATTTTGGGAATGCGCCAAGCATCTAACTTCCATTCAGAATTCGTAAAAGCGTTTTGAGGGCATTACGACCTACTCGATGAACTGGGATTCAGGCATTGTAGAGGTCAATCGCAGTCACGCTAGGTTATTGTCCTCCCAGACAAGTTTGGTACAAGGTAATCGGCCTGCAGTGAACGAATGCTTAGTTAATCTGAGCGGAAACGTATCGATTCAGCCCCTGGATCGCGATGGTTAAGGCGGCATCACGATAATTCTTATCGTCAAATTCACTGTCGGCCAAATTGCACAGTCACATTATCTAATGGTTTTGAGCTAGCCGTGAGCCTCATCAAGAATAACATTTTTTTTCAGTGTTCACTTTTCTCAGAATTCCCAAATAAACTTTTTGTGCGTTTCCACGTTGCTGTCATCCTGATGAATGTTTAGCCGCTCTCGAGTGCATAATCTTGCCCTCCAAAAACAACCCGATCGTCCTATGGATGCATCAACCTCTGAGGCCCGTCCTTCAGAAGCCTGTAATGCAAAGTGGGTGGTTTTCCGATACTAACCTTTTTGATTCTGAAAGTAGTTATTTTTAAGATATCCGAAGCAACTCCTGGATGATTTCCCCACAGTGAGAGACAGCCAATGGCTCGTTTCCTCCATGCTTCACCGCAACTGCCAACTAGTTCCTACCGAGGATTTGAGCGACTTCCCTTGCAATCCACGACGTTTTCGAATCCCTCCCAAGGTCAGGAATTTTTTCCGTTCAAAGACTCAAATTCAACTTTGATCAATTATACGGCTCGTATAGAAATAGCAAGTCGCAAACAACCCCATCGTGAAGAAAAAATCA